CTTTCTTTCTTTCTTTCTTTCTTTCTTTCTTTCTTTCTTTCTTTCTTTCTTTCTTTCTTTCTTTCTTTCTCTCACATACACACACACACACACACACACACACACACACACACACACACACAGAGCACTTAACAGACAAGTATTTTAGAAGCAGCTCCTTTAAATTTCTCCAAGGCTTGAGTGGATTCTTTTACATTGCAAAAGTGCTCCAAAGCTCGATTCATCCCCACCCCCCTCTGTCAGACCGCACTCCTTCTCACTCCAGCACTTTAACTCACAAGGGGAAAGTGATACTTGCAGCATCCATGGGGAATCCTTGGAGAAGTTTTTAAAAGACCTGCTTCCAAAATGCATTTCTTTTATGTTGCAAAAGTGCTCCAAGGCTCGATTCACCCCCATGCCCTCTGTCAGACCACACTCTTTCTCACTCCAGGCACTTTACTCACACGGGGAAAAGTGATACTTGCAGCGTCCATGCCTTTCTTCCTTTTCCCTAGGGAGAAAGAGGATGTGGAGAACGGAAAGCTAGAAGAGTGATCATAAGTGAGCGACTGGGTGACCGGGTTGGAGGTGTGGCCAGCCAGGGATTGCCACCGGTTCAGCGACCTATGCCAAATAACCGCTACCAGTTTGCCCGAATAGGTGTGAACCTCTGATTGAACACCACAGACAATACTGCTACCCTTCAAAAAGACCTCGACTACGTATCAGAATGGTCAAACAAATGGCAACTTCAAATCTCAACAAATAAATGCTCTGTCCTACATATTGGCAAAAAAAAATCAGAAAATAAAATACAAAATAGTCAAGACCTTATTGATGATCCAAACTCTGTCAAGGACCTTGGAGTACTCACCTCTAATGATCTTAGTGCTAGAGCCCACTGTAACTACATAGCCAAAAAGGCATTAAGAGTTGTTAACCTAATCCTATGTAGCTTTTGTTGAGAAAGTCCAGAAATATTTCACAAGAAGACTTCTTCACTCCTCTACTCGTTGCAGAATACCTTATGCCACTAGACTCGAAATTTTAGACCTAGAAAACCAAGAACTATGCTGCCTTTGGTCTGATCTGAGTATAGTATATAAAATTATACATTGCAATGTCCTACCTGTCAATGAATACTTCAGCTTCAACCATAATAATACAAGAGCACACAATAGATACAAACTCAAGATAAACTGCACCAAACTTGATTGCAGGAAATACGACTTCAGCAACAGAGTGGTCAATGTCTGGAATACTCTACCTGACTCTGTGGTTTCTTCCCCAAACACTTTAACTTTAGACTGTCTGCTATTGACCTCACCCCTCTCCTAAGAGGTTTGTAGGGGGCGTGCATAAGCAAACCAACGTGCCTACTGTCCCTGTCCTATTGTTTCTTTTTATTTTTCTTATATGTATCCATTTCATGTATTCATAACTATGGTTATACTTGTACATATTATCTTATAATCACTTGACAAATAAATAAATAAATAAATAACTGTATCTCATGGAAACATGTGGTAGTGATAGCAAACTTGATTTGGAAAGAAACACAAGTTTAAACAGTAAAGTAACAAGCAAAATATAAGAGCTGTAATCTACTATCCTTGGGATAGTAAGTTAAGAATATGTCCTTTTTTATTTTGAAACCTGCAGAGATTAGGACTCTCAATATCAGCAAGACAATCATCACATCCGATAGGTTCATACAGTCTGGAAGCCCTTCTAGTGATCTGTTGGATTTAGGTCAGAATATTCTAAGAGCTCACCCAGTTGCTGGAAACCAGGATTCAAAGTTTAGTGTTAGATGTTAAACTAACAACTTGATATGTTCAACAAACCATGATGTAAGTAATATGTAATTCGTGTTGTCCTGAATTTTCCATCTCTTCCCAGCATGTCAGTTTTCTGTGAAACTTAGAAAAACGTTGCTCAATCCTTTGTTAGGATTTGCCTGAATGTGTTTGTGAACCCAGGCACTGGAGTGGAAAATCATGGTTTCTGGCTTAGTGTAACATTATAGCTTTTGCACTGTTGATTTAGTGTGATGTGTGGTCTAGGTCAGTTCATTAATAATGTTTTGATCCTTTCATCAATAGCTTGATGGAACTTATTTTGATGAAGCAAAATTAATAAGAGCAAATATAAACCTCGTTCCTTAGCTTTCTAGCTGGCTTATTAAAAAAAGGAACAGAGAATCCTAGAATTCCCCCCCCCCCCCCATCATTTATGTTAGAATACTTTCGTATAGCATAAGTTTCCCCAGTCTAGAGCCATCTGGACCAATTGAACACCTGTACAGATTGGTAATCTTAGCCATGCTGGCTGAGAGTGATAAGAATTCTTCCAGTCTAATATTAGGGATTGTGTCAGACAAAGCTGATACAGAAAGTTCAACAGTGTTTCATGAAAAAATCCTGCTATAACAACATGTGTGAAAGACATCTTATTTCTCACAGTTGTATGCCAGGTTGCCTGAAACAAGAAGCTACCTGGAACCAACAACAGATGTGCCTACTGGAACTTTCTCAGAATCCAAGTGATTGTTATGCAATCCTGGACTAATCAGTCAGTAAGATACATGTTGATAATGCCTAACAAAATTATTATTCTCAGTCTAGATATGTAACATTGCCTACTCTAACCTGAGTAAGTAACATTTACTGACTAAGTAGTGTTTACAGAGAAAAACCAAATATCTGGTAAGTTCTATGCTGATTTTAGTTTAAAAATGCACATGAGATTTCTCTGCAAGGATTTGAAAACATATGGACAGACTTATCTGATTCCTGCATATTCATTTAAATATTTTTCATGTAATTAATTACGAATTATGAATATATAAGCCAGGTTATATCATAAATAGGCACACATTTCTTTTCAAGAAGATTCATTACACTGCAATAGCCTAAAGAATTTTATACTGACAACAAATAAGAATTATTTATTACCATTTGAGACCATGAGGAAGTCATGCCAACTCATCAGCTTAGCTAGAATTTATGGCAGAAGATTTTTCCAAGGGTGTCTGAATATTCCTCATGCTTTAATCTACATGTAATGCTTATGTCACATTTTCCATTTTTTTAGCCAATTGTTACATTACATTTGGTGAATATCCACCATAAGGTTGCTGTCCCTTTATGTCTTCAATCAGCCCAAGCAAGTTCCGTACATT